AGTCAAGAGAAAAAATAACTTCATTTGCCTCAAAATTATCATGTATCCTATTCATAAACAGCAATACATTGACACTTGCAACTGACAAGCACAGCTTACTTATGCCAGTTCCATACAAGAACTTTGTTCTGAAGCTTCACCTCTTCCCTACTGCCATTGTGTGGCAACATCAGTTTTGTGAATAAAGAATGCAGACATACAGGATAGCTGTCACATGGTGATAATTCAGGGGACGTGTTGTGTTAAACAATAAAAAGTGTGGTGCAAACTTTCAACAGAGTAGTATAGAACAGAAATGATGTATAGAAACCTTAGTAATAATCACCTTAGTGTACTAATCCTATAGGGATGGAGAATTTGTGCCTCCACATACCTACCCCAAAGATAAAACTTGACGGGTTTCCAGGCTTTTGCATTATTTATGATGTTGACTGAGGCAGTGAGGAGGACAAGTTCCCCACCCTTTTCTTAGACCAGGGGTAGGCAACCTTGGTCCTTTTATGACTTGTGGACTTCAACTCCCAGGCTGGCTCAGGAATTCTGGGAGTTGAAGTCCACGAGTCATAAAAGAGCCAAGGTTGCCTACCCCTGTCTAGACCAGCGGTTCTCAACCTATGGGTCGTGACCCCATTTGGGGTCGATCGACCATTTCATGGGGGTTGCCAAGCAAGAATGTCCGCCATTTTTTTTCCCCTTTTCCGGCGGGTGCCTTACCTCCCTTGGGCTGGGCCAGCTGGTGGTTGGCCTGCTCCGTCTCTGCCGCTTGCCAGCTACGCCTCGGCCGGCGCAGGGGGCGGAACCATGCATGCGCGGCGCTCCCGAGCAGGGAAAGTCCTCGACTTACGACCAGCTGGGTAGTCCTCGACTTACGACCGGTTTAGTCCTCGACTTACGACCGGTTTAGTTCTCGACTTACGACCGGTTGGGGGTCGCGGCATTAAAAAGGTTGAGAACCACTGGTCTAGACCAACGGTCACCAAATTCTTCAGCTCATTTACCTCATGAAATTCCAGATTGTTCGTTGACCCTCCCAAACATTTAATATATGAAAATAATTTAATAAATGCTACTTTAACTACACCAACAATAACGGATAGTCCCATCCACTCCTGGGAGTCGATATTGAACTAATAAAGTTCCAGAATATTTGGTTTAACTATTACTATCCGAGCTCCAATAAGATAAAAACACATTTAAACATAAAGTCTTTTTAAACATGTTTAAAATCCTTTAACACAGGACCCGTATTAATGTTTTTGATTACTACAAAAATCCAGGCACATAGATACAGTGCTATGTGCATGGAAATACAAGCCATATAGACTTTCTTATTTATTGCATGGAGAGGGAAATGCTAAAATCCTTCCACACAGGTGAATTAGCAGCACCTTCTCAAACAGGGGCTGTTGGCCAATGACAATTTGAAACATGTCAGAGCAGCTAACCTTTAGAACTTTGTTGCCATTTATATATCAATCAGTGAATCAGTCTATAGCAGGCATGTCAAACTCGCGATGTCACGTGACGTCGTGCAACGTATCGGGCCGGTTTTGCCATTGCCGGCAATGGGGTGGGTGTGGCTTCCACGTGACACGTCCGGCCCATGGGCTGGCAGTTTGACACCCCTGGTCTATAGGAACAGCAGCAGCAGTTCCACAAGATTAATAATACAGAATACATCATAGCAGATACAGAATCCTCTCTCTGCACTGCCTCCATCAGAAAATCTAGTATCTGTGTGGCACTTATAACCTCTATAGTGGTTCATTGGAATCATTGTCATGAAGTTCATAATGTTCAACCATCATAAATCCTAGATAGCTAACAGGCACAAGCAAGCTTTTTTGAATTCCTAAAGAGGCTATAGCTGCATTGTACTATAATGCATTGGGCTTTCCACATTTCCAAACAAGTAGAAAAATGAAAGACCTGAGACTCACACCTTTCAAATTTGGTTTAATTCAATTACATGGAGGTAGACACCAAACATTCATTTCTCATTACATCCAAGTATCTGGAAAAAGGACACAATAATAATAATATTTTGCTTTTGTTAAACAAAGTGGGTGACTTGTATCCTGACCCCTTTGTTGCAAATCTTAGGAAACTTTTTCAGAGGCCAGGTTGAGGTTTGAATTCCCTTTGAAAGCACTGCAACAATCCTCCAACCTAAATAACATTTTGCTACTTTGAACATGGCCAGGAGGGGGAAGAAGTGATGGCATATGTTAATGTCATCATACAAATACCATAACTTACAACCTTAGGTTGGTTGCCAAGACTCAAATACATTACAATGGTATTTGCTTGATAACATCCTTGCTGCATCAGAGTTGCTCTATAAGCTGCTAACACTGAATCATAACATCTTTATTTCATAAAGTAGATTGATTTATAAAATATTGATCAAATTCTATATTATAATTCTGCCAGGCTTTGACCCTATGCCCTTGCTACTAAATACCAAAAAAAAACAGTTTCTATCAAAAGTAACAGTATGAGATAATAAGCAGAATTAATCTTTGGGTTAAATATTATGACAGAAATTGGCCAGATCTGTCAGTATTTCTGTTTAGTATTTTAATATTATTGAAATACCTTAAAAATATTTTATCTTTGGTAACCACACAAAAAATAAGAATTTGGATTTAAGAAATATAACAAGAGAAATTATTCTACACAAATTGTCTGCAAGTATAGAAACTGACAAAATTTTATCTTTAATTATTTTCAGTGTTCCCAGGCAAACATGAAGATATTAGCACAGTTTTCTCCTGACATTAGTGAACTAGTAAACCAGTCTTTTCCGATTTGATTCCCTCCAGTTGTGTTGAAATTAGAATTTCCCGAATTGACTGTGTTGACTGGAAGCCATAATTGTAGGACTTTTGAAGGTCATAGTATTGATTGAACTGTTATAAAGAAATTTCCCTTCTTTCTTTCACATGTGTATGATAGGGAGAAATGGTGGGTAACATCTCATTCTCCAGATAATGGGACCAGCTATTGATTGATCGGTGTGGAATCCAAAACTGTTGTAAGATTAGAAATATCCAATTCTATGGCAGGAACTTTTACCGAGTTGCTCTCCCTGCCTAGTTAGTATAATACTGGATTGGCCAAGCAGTCCAACTTGCATGCCTGGAGCATCTGTAATCCTTATCTAAACCATGGTAGGGATCTTATATTGGCATCTGACAATAAATGGTGTCTAGTATATAGCTCAAATAACGCATAATCTCATTTGACTAATTTATCTAAAAAAGTAATTCATTTAGTGAATGAACATATGTGTCCCAGGATAATGTGGCAGGATCCAATCTGGGTCGGTCACCAGCACCACAGTTTTTGTCTTCCAAGCTTTGGGCCTCGTGCTGGAGCCCATCCTCAGGGAACTTCTAAGTTCTCTCTTTAATTCATTTAGGACTAAGAACCTACTTTTCTCTGGAAATTATTTTGAAAAATTCAAATATCCACTGGATGGTAGCAAAGAGATACAAAAACCTAACAGTTCTCTAAGGGAGCATATGGAATTTTGCAGTCTAGCTATGGAATACCTCAATTAGTCTTCAAGGTCACCAGGTCACTTTAAAGAACTGTTCAGAAGAGCATAAAAAGTCCATTGGGATAAAATAGACTTTTATCAACACATTTAATATAAAACTTTGCTTCCACCGGTGTCCTTCAGAATAGAGGGATCTCATATTTTCTTTGCTTGTGGAGAAATCTCAGCCACTCCTGCCCCCTAATGCAACATTGTAGGGCCAGCTTCCACTACCCCAAGCAATAATTTCTCTCAGCTGATTGCCTCAACTCACATCACCAACTGCTATGAGTCGCACAAACAGAAGACATACCTGGTAGTGTGGATGTTTCTTAGAAGACTTTGGGTGACAAAAAGAACCATTACTTCCCTTCTCCTACATTATTTCCTCACATTATTTCCTTCAAATCATCAAAACTGCCAACTCCATTAATCCCTTGTGATTTATATAATGGGCATGATAAAATGTTTAGAAACAGTTTTTCTACCTTATAAAAATACAGCTAGACAAAAAGATATATAGTCCTCTGCCACTAGACCAAGGGTAGGCAACCTTGGCTCTTTTATGACTCGTGGACTTCAACTCCCAGAATTCCTGAGCCAGCCAAGCTGGCTCAGGAATTCTGGGAGTTGAAGTCCACGAGTCATAAAAGAGCCAAGGTTGCCTACCCCTGCACTAGACAAATGTTGAGAGCTGATGTATCAGTCCTTGTCCATCTGCTGTTCCTGTGTCATAGAAAGTTTTGCAAATCATTAATGTAAGGCATGTTCATAAGAGCCTGCAGTTAAAGTTGGAAGATCAACAGGCAATTAGAAAGACTGAAATAGCTCTTCAGTCTGTTGTCCTGTGAAAACTAATCACAATTCATTCTGTTTTGACCCCATTTGAGAATAATTGTTAGATTTTTTTTCCCCAGGAAGTTCAATAGGTTTCTTTTGCACGTATGATCTTTAAAGTAAAAAAGATGATGAAAACAATATAAATACATAAAAATATATTGGCAAAACCAAAATTATTAAAAACTTAGCATTCTATAAGAGTAAAATAGGGTTGATCTCTTGGTAATTATTCCTTTAAATCAAACACCATCATGGAAGATACTTTGAGGTTCTATAGATACAAAAACAATAAGTATGTCATCTGCATTACAGGGACATTTACACATTCATCCATCCAAGATAAAACACTTCCATCCAAGAGAATGTTTTCTGGTAGTGCAAAGCACTACTATGTGTTTAGAAGACCATGGGTTAGTTTACAGCAATAGTTATGCCCAAGCAAATTAACCTGAAGATCAATCCTTCTTTTAAAATAGGGGTGGGGGTGGGGGAGAAAAAACTTCCTAACAAAGTCAGCTTCCAAGAAGTGATTTCATGAGCTTGTTGATCTCTAGTTCCCAAACATAATGGCCCAATCCTAAGCAAAGCTTATTACCAAAATAAATACAAATATTAAAAGTTTCTGAATCTTTCTCTAAATGTTTGGCATTCATTTCTGTTACACTCACACACATGTTTCTGGATTGGTTACAATTTTCCCATTTTTTTCATCTTTCAGAAAGCGTTCCACTTCAATAGAGTCCACTTTGGAGTCTCCCGGTTGTTGATTTAACCCTTCTCCTTCAGCATGATCTTGTATTTGCACAGGTTTTTTGATACAGAAGATATTTCCTAAAGCCAGCACCACCGAGGAAGTAACGACTTCAATACCAGCCAAAATAAAAACATACATATACTTGTGAGTTGCATCCAGGAGTTTACCTGAAATAGAAAATTTATATCTTTAACAGCATATTCAGTTAAACCTAGAGTTGTTGCATTTTTAATAATTTTAGAAAGCTGAAGCGAATATGTTTGAGTAAAACCTGTTGGATAATCTAATGACACAATTTTAGTGAAAAGGTTAATGGGAGGGAGAGGAATAAAGAAACAATGGTGGCAGCATGAACCTAGCTTGTATATGCTTATATGTAATATACATGCAAATCATTGACTTAGAATTGAAATACCTCAACTTGCAACAATTTTCTTTAGGCTATATTGTAATATAAAACAGAACATCATAGAACGATGTTTTTGTGCTCTATTTGGGGAAGGAAAAGTATTTCTTTAAATACTATGATTTAGCTTTCTCTCAAGTTCTTCATTTTCAATGCATTAAGACTGCTTATTTGAATAGGCTGCACACAAATTACATTTAGTTCACGCATTTTGACCCCTGCTCCTCGCTCTGCTTTTGCTTCTGCTTAGTAGGTTTGAAGGTATTATTTTCCTTGGCCATATAATTTAGAATAGAACAGAAGTTGTGGAGAGTTACTTCATTTGACCCCTCTAAATTGCCTACTATTTATTTCTAATTAGGAGATGGGCCCACCACATCTTGCTACTCTTTTGTTCTTTTTTTTCTTTTGTCCTTTACTTTGAGGCTTGGATTGAAACAGTTCTCCATCTGTCTTGGTATTCCATCTCTAAGGTAAATTGAATTGTAAGCAGCTCAGAGTCATTGATGGACAGCTATAGAAATGTAATAAATAGATCCTCCTGCTTTTGGCCTTCAATTATAATCTACACGCAAGAGAACAGAATAGCAAATTGACCTCTAATTCTCAGACAACACCAGGGGAACTAGAAAAGAGGGTAACAGCAACACAAACAAAACACACAGGGTAGGGGTTTCACAGTTCTTATTCCTTCCCTTAATTCATCTTTTTTTCTCTTTCCATAAAAATGGAACAATTAATCTTGTTAATTAACTAGAGTACTTACCTGCTGAAGGTGGGCCAACTAGGACAGCCACTGCCTCAGCCAAAAGAACTAAGCCAATGGCACTTGAAAACTTCTGTGTACCAACAATAGCCATGAGAACTTCAAACTGAAGAGCACCAACCATTCCGTAGGAAATGCCAAAGAAGATGCAGAAGACCACCAAGCCACCATAATTGGAAGAAAGGGAGCCCATGAGATCAGTGAAGCCATTAAAAAACATAGCAAAACTGAAGAAATAGACACAACGGGGCCTAACCCAGTTCAAGCCAGCCAGTATTCCACAAAGAGGTCGAGCAAAAATGTCCACGCAGCCAAGAACTGTCAGAAGAAAAGCTGATTTGGTGTCCTCATACTTCAGGTCTTTAGCATAGCTCACTACAAAAACTGGAGGTACAAATAAGCCTAGCACCATAATGGATGCAGCCACTGTATAGATTACAAAGCCGGTATCTTTGAAAACACTGAAATCCAATAGCTTTTTTTTGCGTTCCTCAATTGGTTTCAAAGTTTCCTGTTTTTTTGGACTTTCCAAAGGTCTCATCAGAGCTCCACAAACACAACAGTTCAAAAGCAATCCCCCCAAGATGAGAAATCCCCCTCGCCATCCATATTCATGCTGCAGTACCTGCCCGAGGGGGGAAAGAGCACAGAGGAACACAGGGCTTCCAGCTGCAGCCAACCCATTGGCCAAAGGCCGCTTTTTGTTAAAGTAGCGATTTAGCATGATAAGGGATGGCTGGAAATTAAGGGCCAGGCCCAATCCTGGAAGGGGAAAAAAAAGGACACAATTTAAAACAGTAATCAAGTTCAGTGCTTGAAACAAGAGTAGAATATGTTTAACTGTACAGAGGATGTAGGCAATCAATTCTCCCTCAGATATAAAAGAAGAAGAAATGTTACACTCGTTTATCCTTGTGGGCTGAATATATGTTGGCATTTAGGCAGAAAGAAATATGGAGCTGCCAGGATTGAGCAAGGTTCCTGACATTGGTGTACCAAGAATAAAAATGATTGGTTTTGGTTTTTGTGGAAATGGTAATGTAAGTTCCTTTGGTGTCTGTCTTAAAATAAACATTCTAATTTAGAAAAACAAAAACAAAAGACACCCCGCCAATGTATATGAAGAAAGAGAAACGCTGTGCAGGCAGAAAAAAGCTCCTGTGCATTTGCTTGAAGGAAGGAGGGAGAGCAAGGCCTGAAGGATGGATGTCACCAAGGACTGCTTTGGAAGAGGGGGGGGGAATAGGGAGGTTCTGTGGTAGGGGGAAACTGCTTCATATCAAAACATGTTATGATCACCATGATGTGCATTTAAGAGCTCTGCTGCAAATAAGTCTCCCTGCACATTCAAAAGGAGAGCATCAAAGAGGAAGCAATGCAGCCTTTCTTTCCCTCATACATGCCATCACTATACACAGTGCAGCCTTGCTAAATGGCTTGCCGATACACTAAACACATTTGCTATTACTTACCCGTAATGACACCAGCAGATAGATAGATCTGAATGATGTTAGTGGAGAAGGAAGCAACGACCATCCCTGCTGAGGCAAACAGGCCTCCAGTCAGCATTACAGGGCGGCAGCCGAACCGATTGACACACATACTGCATAGGGGGCCTGAAGAAAATAAACAGGTGCTTAAATGCCTGGGATGTAACATGCCTAGAATAATGGTGGCATTTTGTATTGCTTCTCAAACCTTTCTCAGGCTTGGCAAGAATATCTCTGGGTTTACAATTGACGCTGGAGGATTCATTTGGAAAAGGTTGTTTTCCCCTCCCCCCCCCACTGATTCCATGCTGGAAAAAAACCTACCCTCCGCCTAGTATACATACAGTGACCATATGTACTTCATTTCAAAAAGCTGTTCTTTTATATATTTCTTTAATTATTTATTTTATTGGTTTTGCTCTTGAATTTTTCTTCGAAAAACAAAATTTTGAACATAAAACGTTTTTTTTAATCCTTATGAGCCTCTTTCAGATCTGCCCCTTAATTTTGTCAGCTTTGTCCTTAATTTTTTTTCTAAGACAATGTGGACGCTATAAGTACCAGGGAGTTCTCGACATACGACCAGAATTAGGACCAGGATTTCCATCCCTAAGCAAGGCAGATGTTTAATTGAGTTGCATGCAATTTTATAACCCTTTTTGCCACAGTTCTTAAACAAATCACTGCAGTTGTTAAGTCAATCATGCAGTCAAATTTTGATTATATGATCAGGGATGTGCAATGGTGATACGTGTGAGGACCGGTTGTAAATCAGTTCTTTCAATGCAGTTACAATTTCAAATAGTCACTGAATGTTTTTAAGTCAAGGACTATCTGTATGCAGCATCAGCAAACTTATATAGGTAGTCCTCAACTTACAACAGTTCATTTAGTGACCGTTCAAAGTTATAACAGCACTGAAAAAAGTTATTTATGATCATTTTTTACACTTACAACCATTGCAGCATCCCCATGATCATGTGATTTACATTCAGCTGCTTGAAAACTGACTTACATGTATGACGATTGCAGTGTCCTAGGGTCATGGGATCATCTTTTGCAATCTTCTGACAAGCAAAGTCAAGGGGAAACAACTTAACAAATACAGCCAGAAAAGTTGTAAAACGGGGCAAAACTCACTTAACAAATTTCTCCTTAGCAACATAAATTCTGGGCTCAATTGTGGTCATAAATTGAGGACTACCTGTACCTTGCAAATTTCTTTACAATCTACTACGTAAATAGAGAATCAGATAATATATACATTCATAATTACCATATTAAAAGTATTGCTGATAATAGATCAGTTGCAATAACATTAAATATATCTGTTTCTGAGGTTTCATTAGTTTCACATTTTCTGTAATCTCTTCTGCATGGCAATTGGTGAAGCCTTGTTAACTCATATCTTGATTGTTAACCTACCTAAAGTTTTCCAATGTTGGGCAATTTTTATTAGAATCATTACAATGATTTAGAGGTCAATACTTCCATCAACAAAATGAGATGTGTCTGTGATTTCCTAGTTGCTTACCTGTTCCATAAAGCATAGCCAACAAAATAGAGGAAATCCATGCTGTGTCACTATATCCAACATCAAACTCTCGGATAAGTTCCTTGAAGAAGACACTCATGGCCTTTGGGAAGGCATAGGAGAATCCAGTGATGACAAAGCACCCAAAGAGTATAGCCCAGCCCCAGCCACCATCTGGGGCTTTAACTCCAGATGGACTATCATCGATCGCCACAGCTCCCATGATGAGATTTTATGAGTTTCCTAAAACATAATTTGTAGAAATTAAAATTATGTAGTCCATCGGGGAAAAAGACAATATTATGCAGTTAAAACTATACTTTGTACAGTAGACTACATAAAAAGGATTTACCATAGAAAGCCAATTAGCTTTTTCTTAGCCAGAAGGCTCATAACTGTACATCTGTCCAGTTATCACACAGGCTTTTTTAAATCATATACATTTGTACAGCTTTGGTACATGAAGCATAGTGCAGAAACAGGGAGACACATTCTGCACAAGATTTGCATGTCAAAACCAGGAAATATAGATAAGACAGCAAATGTTGCAAGAACTTCCTTTAAAAATAGAGACTGACACAGAATGTATCTAATTCATGATTCGCAATTTATTAGTTTTAAATATATATACAGTGGTACCTTGGTACTCATCTGCTTTGAAATTCATTGAATTTGGTTCCCAATGAATTTTGACAGGAAAATTTTGTCCCAGTATTCATTGTTTGTTTGGTACTCAACGCGCAAGCTAGAACTTATCGTTGTCAGCTGCCTTGTGACTCACTATGTTATTCCTTATGGGAAAAAATTGTTTGGTACTCATCGCACCTCCTGGAACCAATTAATGATGAGTACCAAGGTACCACTGTGTGTGTGTGTGTGTGTGTGGTGTAGTATATTTAACAGAGGTGTGTGTATATGTGAGACTGAGATATTTCTCTGCTGATTAAAATTATTAGAAGCCCTAAATTTTAGTTAGATTAATTATTGGAAATCCCCAGCCTGAAAAGAGCCACTTGCTTATTAGTCACAGGTCCAAGCATCGGTTCCTAGAATCTCAAGTTTAAAGTACCAAATGAATAAGAGGGATCTTTGTTTCCTAGGCCAGTGGTGGTGAACCTATGGCACAGGTGCCAGAGGTGGCACTCAGAGCCCTCTCTGTGGCATGCGCACCGTTGCCCCAGTCCTAGGCCTTCAGCTGGGTTTTATAAAACCCTTTTTGCTTTAGGCCTCCGCCGCCGTGTGCAAAAAAAAAAAAGGTTCAATCAATCAGTCAATTTCAACTTCTCACGGGAAACAAAAAAGATCTTGCAAAGTTGGAATTGATTGATTGAACTTTTTAGTCCCACCCAGTCTGCCGTTACCACTGCAGTCACGCCCACCCAATGGGCCACACCCACCCAATTGGCCACACCCAGCCAATGGGCCACACCCACCCGGCACCCAATGATGCATAAGTGGGTTTTGGGTTGCAGTTTGGGCACTCGGTCTGTAAAAGGTTCGCCATCACTGTCCTAGGTCATTTACTTTCTTTTCTGGGACACAGAACAGACATTCTCAATTCAAATAATCATGCACTACATGGCTGGGGAGTATACCTGCCAGGAAGCATGTTCATCCATTGTATAGAAGCTGCTAGTCAAGAAAGGATGCATGCAGCTTTTTACAAATATTTCTATTACCACCACATATATTGTTCCTGTAGTTTGATTTTGGCAATCAATATTTTATCCAAAAAAGAAACAAAGTCAGAAGTGGGTCCAACTTGCTGTCTAGACAGCTGAGGACTTAATATGTTATTATTCAGAGTCCGCTCTGTGACATTTAGGCTTCACCCTGAACCACTTAGAAAGAAAAATTTCACATTGAAGCTCCAGAAATAAATTTGGCAAAGCCTACTAAAGCTGATCTATTGCTGTACACTGCCCTTTCAAAAGAAAAACACTGATATACTTTTCCTTCACCATCTCTGAAACCCCATTAAGTGATTCAGCAATAAGAAATGTACAGAAATGTGCCTAAATCACATAAAAGTGGGATGTGAAGCAAACATTGAAGCACCTACTGGCATATAAAGAGCCTACCTCAGGGGTGTCAAACTCGCAATGTCCATGACGTGTTGTGATGTATCGTGACTTTTTACCCATTGCCAGCAATGGGGTGGGCATGGTTTCAGTGTGATGCATCTGGCCCATGGGCCGGCAGTTTGACACCCCTGGCCTACCTGAAGAAAATGGTAATTGATTCAACATGGCCAAAAAGCTTTGAGCTTCTGTCTCTTGCAAAATACACAAACAGCAAGCCACTTTCAACAATCTGAAAATATTCATAAGCAGACATTGTACTTAATTTAGTATGTTTTTAATCTCATCTTTTTCTCCAGAAAACTGAAGGTGCTGTACTCTTTTTCAGTGGAATTGGCAGACTGACAAAAACAGCATCCCAGCATTCTGCTGCAAGCCAATCTCTTTTTCTACATTCACTGGAACATTTCCAAGGGGATGGACCTTATGGTGCAAGGCTGCTTTTATCAACCCAATGAAAGCAATGAGATCTTGTAATTGCCATTATTCATCCCAATAGAAGCCTTATCTCTGAGTGTGAATTTGAGCCTGGATTCCCAGATTCTTACCTCCCATTTGAATCACTATCACAGTGGTTTTTTCACAATTATTTAAAATGGTAGAAATATCTGATAAAAGGAGGAGGAGGAAGAGGAGGAGACTGCCCTTGCCCTGTGGAATAGCATTCCTTTGGAAGTCATATAGCTGCATTCCTGCTGGTTTTCAGAAAAGCCACAACAACCTAGCTTTTCCACCAACCACCAGGGCAGAGCGATTTGTAACCCAGTTTGATTGTTCCCCAACAGTCTCATGTATCTGTTTCGTATACTACATTTCTGTTTTCAATCTTAACTTGCTTCTTATTTACTAGTGAGAATTGCTTCACCAATTGAGCAACTGACTGATGAATTAAATAAATACATAAATAGTCACATTCTAACCAAAGTCCCCTTTCCCCTATAAAAGACCTCATATTTCTGTTAAGTACCTGGGAATAATTTTATTGCGTGAACAACTGATGCAGTACATCAGGGGTCTTCAAACTTGGCCCTTTTATGACTTGTGGACTTCAGCTCCCAGAATTCCTCAGCCAGCGTGCCTAAGGGATTCTGGGAGTTGAAGTCCACAAATCATAAAAGAGCCAAGTTTGAAGACCCCTACAGTACATCCTTCCTTTCATTCTGCAAGCTGTTAAACCAGGAGTGTCAAACTCGAATGACATGTAGCGACATATTGCGACTTTTTTGCCATTGCCAGCAATGGGGGGGGCGCGGTTTCGCTATGGTTTCACTATGATGCATCTGGCCCAATGGCCGGCAGTTTGACACCCCTGTGTTAAGCAATATACAAAGAAGTCACCGCTTCCTGCAAAACCTGTCATTTCCTGAGTGCATTTCTAGGTTCTATGAATTCAAAGCTCTGAATTCACTTTGGTGTTTTTACCAACAAAGGTAATCTAAGTTCATCTCTTTACAACCCAACAGAATTTATTGCTCTGATCTAGCTAGCATCTGCCTGCCAATTGGCAAAAGTAGGACAATTAAAGCTATCAAAAGGCTAGTAAAGGATTATATTTAGTCCCTTTTCATGCTATAAGGAGTTGAACAATGCTCTAATAAAGTGATGGTGAACCTCTTAGAGTGCCCAAACCGCAACCCAAAACCCACTTATTTATTGCAAAGTGCCAGGGCCACATCAGCATTGTGGTTCCTTCAGGGAGGGTGGGGTGTATGGCCCACTGGGTGGGTGTGGCCAGGGTGGTTAGAGCAGATTGGGTGGGTGTGGCCAGGTAGGTCTAACACCTCTACTCGAGCTTGCTAGCCGGCTGTTTTGCCTGCTTTGTGCTGGGCAGAGCTGCTGCTCCGGGCAGCGGCGGCGGCCTAATGGACCTGCGCGAGCTGCTAGTGGCGACAGTGCGTGTGCCCACAGAGAGGGCTCTGAGTGCCGCCTCTGGCACGTGTGCCATAGGTTTGCCACCACTGCTCTAATAAATAAGCAAACATCTATGCCAAGGGTGTCAAACTGCCGGCCCATGGGCCGAACGCGTCACAAGGAAACTGCACCACCTCATTGTTGGCAATGAGGAAAAAGCTCTGATACATCGCGCAATGTCATGACGTCCCGAGTTTGACATGTCTGATCTATGCCATACCTGAGCTCTTGGCTTTATTAAGACAAGTCTGTTTCAGACAAGAGAACATGCAGGTTCCCCAGGAAAAAAAAAACACTGGCTTTTTCACATGTACCACATGCCTAATTAAGTAGTTAGTGACCGATCATCAGTTAGCTGTGGGTTTACTGACACCTATATTAATTTATTAACACATTATTTTTTCTTATTTATTACTGCTGTATTTTAAACTATCTGTAAATCACCTAAAATGCCTCTGGATTGAAGCAGGAATAAATTGCATAAATAAATAAATAAATAAATAATAAAATTGTATTTCTAATAGTTGTAGCCTTAATATCTCTTTCAACATTAATCTAATAGGGTTTAATCTTTACAGCAAAAATGAAAGTACTGACTGATATTGATAAGTTCCCCAGGAAAAGCTATGACTTCAACTGTCTCTTGGTCTACCTGATATTTCTAGACAGATCTACTGAGGACAAGTAAAAGCACTTTGTAAGTCATAAGTCATAGTGAACTTTATGAAAATGCTCTACCCCTTGCAAAAAAACCATGTATTCCATTGGAGGGCCTCAGCTGTTTCTGTTCCCATGGGAACATATCCATCCAGGCAGAAAGCTGCTGTCAGCCAGCTGTTCATTCCTAACCTGCAGCCGTTGTACTTATGCCAACTCCAGAAGAAATGCCATTAGTAGATTGCACACAGAATACTTGATCTTCACGATCAGATTAATTATCTACTTGTGATCAGCTTCCTTTGAAAATCACATACATAAAATGTCATGACTTTGAAACTACCATGAATCTTATATATTGTACCACATGAAATGATTTAAGGCAGTTCCTTCATCCAGACATTCTGTCATCTGATCGTCTATTTCTCTGTCTATAAAAGGCCCAGCACTCTAGAAATCCCATAAAATTTAATTTAGATCTCTGCTGTTGTAAGATGATCTGCAGAGAAAGGCAGACCTTTACCTTTAAAATTGTAAGAGTTAAGTTGAAAGGGGGCATTTCCACCACTGTTCATGGGGTTT